TTCAGGCGCGTGACTCGTGCTACATGAAAATATTTTTTGGACGTATTTGTTTTTTAATTTATACACTTCTCTGTAGGGCAGTTGTATTGGGTGAAAAAAAAATCAAAAATGTATGTTACATGATATTTATCGTTTTGTTTTACTTAAACGTTGTTATCGTCATATCGTGTCGTTTACACTGATAACGCAAAGCTCTCGAGTATATCGAGACACGATAAAAAGATTCGAGATAAATTTATCGTATCTTGACGTGGAAGGAAAAAGAATTCAAACGATATATATATATATATGACGCGCAATCAGACACAGATCATGGCAATTGTTCAGGCTCTAATGATACCAGTCATCAATGACCATAATAGAATCTAGAAGATAAGGAGACTAGGCAAATATGCGCAAGTACCAAGGCCATGCGAAACAGAGTTACACGAGTACTTTCCTCGCTGAAGTCAAAGTGAGAAAAGAGCGTCGGAGTCAACGCTCGTTAAATTATACGGCAAACAGGTTGAAAGAGTGAAATAAAAAGGGATGAGAAAAAGATGTCGACGGACATAGAGGATCGATCTATGGAATGACATCGATCGCCGGTATACCCGAGCGACAATAATTTTACGTCTTCAATAATAAACTAAGAGGAGCTTTACCCGTCTGGCCGTTTTGCATCGATTATACCTGAGCGGTTAGCCCAGCCCGCTTCATGATTGCCTGTGCTCTCTTCGCCTGTGTTATTCCCCCTCAGAAAACTCCTGGTCTCTGGCGGCCGATAGGAAGCGACCAATAATAATAGTCGTTGGTAAGAGACACAGCGAGCGACCGAGTCCCTTTCTCTCATTGACTCTTAAAGCGAAGCAAAAGAGCCATTCGGTACTGTGGACGACGGGGACAGGTTTTTCTTAAGTTATGCTCCGCGTCACTGGACAGATAACCGGATAGAGTGACGGAGCGCGAGCCCCGGCGTAGCCTGTTATAAAATCGAAAGAACAAAAACGGCCCGTGAAATAAATGAGTCGGCTATAAATACTCGCAGTGCTGTTTCTTGTGGCTGTATGGAGAATTTGTGTGCGTCGGTGAGTATCTGAGAGAGGAGTAGGAGGAGGAGGAGGTAGATGGGAGATGTCGAGTGAGAGGAAGGGATAGATTGGAGAGAAAGAGGGGGGGGAGAGAGAGAGAGAGAGAGAGAGAGAGAGAGAGAGAGAGAGAGAGAGAGAGAGAATAAAAAAAGGAAAGAAACCTCTAAGCCGTTGAGTCACTCTCCGAGTACGCTGGAGGAAGTAGAGGAGTTGGCCGTTGAGGAGTCGTGCAGGAACGCGAAGGAGGTGGCGGAGACGGGCGAGGAGGTGAAGGAAGTGGCTGAAAAAAAATGGAGGGAAGACAAGCTTTGGAGTAACCTTCCCTTCCCTGCGGCAAAACAGCCATTTAATATATCTCGTTTCAGTAAAGGAGACTCCGAACTGTCTCCAGACATTCCTATGGTACTTTCCGTCATGTTGCAGAAACTAATGAGATTATTGCGTGGTACGACGTGCTTAACGATTTTACTTAACGATACCGGGAGGATTACGATGACCTAGTTCGAGCGTGTACGAAGTCTAGCGATAGGCTAGGCAACTTGGCAGGACCTCTGGTATATGGTTATTTAATTCAATCTAGAAGCTTCTCACTAGGATATTCCTAACAGCCTGGTCACCGCCTGCTTAAATTCTCGTATCGATCGCAACGATCGACCAAGGTGCTCAGTATCATTTGCAATTCGAATTTCCTGACTGAATCGGTATCGCATCTTCATTATACTCCGATACGTTGACCTTCTCCAGAAACACTCTTGCCTTCGTTCTTAAAACGTCCCAGGAGACGTCTCGCATTATTTTACTCGTTGAAAACGCCACGAGCCATGTTAAATGTAAAACGATCTTTCCTCTGTACACAAACGCGCGCGCGTAGCTCCATGCGTAAACGTCTGGATGGTCTCCGTGCGGAATACATTATTGACGAACGTAGGTAAAGCCACGGTATGTAATATCCTATAGCGCTGCCAGTAATAGGAGTTAGCATCGGGGCACTGGTGGTAGTAGCGTAGCAGGAAGGAGAAGGAGGATGAGGATGAGAGTGTAGAATCGGAGGAGGTTGGAGTCGAAGTAGGAAAGGAGGAGAGAGAGGCTGGTAGTGGAGTCGCTCAGCCGGTGGTTACTCATGCACATTGGCGCTGCACGAAGGCGAAGCGGAGGCCTTTGACCTCCTCGGCCGGCACAGTACCTCCTCCCGACGTCCCGGACTCACCCTCACCCTAGTTCTCGATCGTCTCCGTTCCCCCTCGTCCTCGGCCCCCGTCCCGTACAACATCCAGCCAGCCGTCCCTGCTCCGTCGCTTCGACCTGCATTCATCCCGCAACACAACCTCCACGACACGAACGATAAACGAAACCGTGCACTAAGTGTATTATAACCTCCCACGTTCCCGCCGCTAAAGGTCATGCCTTAACGAGCTGCTTTTTTTCTCTCGCCTTCCTCCCCCCCTCCGCCGCTCACTTCTCTCTTCCCTCTCAACCTCTCCACCACCCTGACTCATCCACCTCCTCACCTCCATCCATCCTTGCTCCTTTGTACATACCTATCTCACCTCTTAAGACCCTGGCACAAGCCAATGCCCCCCGCGCCACATGGATTCTTTAAACCTCCTACAGACACGAATTTCAACGCGATTGACACTTCTCGCGAAGAGTCTCTTGATTGCTTTCTCATCGAAAGAGAAAGTCCTAAGGTCACTGTCAAGGTGAAAGTCCATACATTCAAATACCAATATGGAATACGCCTGTGCAAATGTTTCTGTATGCATACGTACGTACGTAAAATTCCAATGGAGAATTCCGACCGAGGGGGGGGGG